GGGTGGTAGTTATAGAACTGAGTTTGAAAACACCCTGGACTGGGAGGCTAGAGGCCTCTAGTTCTAGCTCTGCCACTGATTCACAGGGGCTCTTGGCTTACTCTCTGGGTCTGAATTTTTCCATCTGGGTACAAAATGAGCTATCTCCAAGGGCCTGATTCTGTAATTTTAGAAGGCCAAGTTCGCTGTGTGGAGGAAAGGAGAGGAGCTGAGGGAACGGAGAATGGGGAAGAGTGCTCACCTCTTCCTCTCTTTGTTCTTCTCTTTTCTTTTGCTCTTGGGGCTTCGAGATCTACAGGAAGCAGATACTCTATGACAGCACAGCCTGAGCCAGGCAGGGGGAGGGCAGGTCTCCTGAGCCTGGTGTACCCATGTGTAGACCTGAGATTTGTTCCTCTCTCTGGCCGGAGTCTCCCTAGTAGGTATGGACTTGTCCAAGTCATCCAACTGCTTTGGTGCCTTTCACTTGGCCAAGTCTCATTCCTTCTTTCTCCTGTAAATCCTGGTCCATGATCACCTCCTGCCTGGGCCCTAATTGCTGTGCCCTCTGGGAGTGCCAGCGCCCCAGAAGAAGGATGACTTGTCTTTATCTTCTGGCACTGATCTTGGGACAGGCCCCTACATACTTCATTTGTGTTCCCTGTGCCCTAGGTTCCCTTAGATGGAGCCCTCCCGGCAGAGCCCAGGCCTCCTGCCTCTCCATCCTCTAGACTGTAGCCCAGCCCTGGGTCAGCTCATCCAGGGCTTCAGGAGAGAATTGCTTTCCCTTGGATGTGATCTCCCTGCTTTTGGGCTACGCTGCTGGACCCCTGTCCCATTCCATCCAGCTCTCTAGGGTGGGCCCGGTGGCTCAGATCCTGCCTTTGACAAAAGGGTTGAGAAGCTTCTGATTAGTCCTTTAAGGCCTCACCCCATGCCAGTTCTCATAGGTCTCTCAGCCCCACCCTTCCTGATGCTGCCAAATTCTGGCTCAATTCTTCCAGTTCTAAACAGATGCCTCCTTCTGACCCAAAATGAGGTGATGCTAAAAACCACAGGAATGTGTTTCTCAGAAGAGTAGGTGGGGGACAAGCTGGTATAGGGGGCAAAGGTTTGGGTTCTAGAACCCATGTTGCCTGATTTGGGCCTTGGTCTCCTCACTTGGAGTTGATCTAGCCTAGCTCATCTTTAGGTCCTTCCCAGGACTGATGGGAGCTGGCCAGAGGATATGTGCAAGCTGACGGTGACCACTGCGGGCAGCAGGAGCCCCACTAGCCCATGAGAAAGGGTTGGGGAAGAGTAAAGAGTGGGAAATTGGGAAAATCAGAGGGCCAGGATTAGGTGTTCATTTAGGCTCCTTCCCCACCTGGCAAGTGGCTGTGAGCCAATTCCCACTGCAGGAATGGTGCTGGGGATCCTGCCCTTCCTCAGGGCTGCTGGGAGGGGTTCTGGCTCCTATGCCAACCATGGGGATGTGACTGCCCCACATCCTCCTTCCCTCCATGCTGAGTGTTTTACTTTATCTACCCCTGCCTCTGCCTGGGCTTCTGCATTTTACTTCCTCCTCTCTCCCCCCACCGCCCCCAATCCATCCTGAACAAATCACTGTCCTGCTCAGAGTCTCTTGCTGGCTCCCAGTCCCACAGGGGTGAAGGCCAGCAACGTAACTCCAGTAGTCAGGCCTGTTGGGGGCTGGTACCTGCCACTCAGACACTCCATCTCTAGACACAGCCCGTCCACCCCATCTCCTACCCACTGAGGCTTCCTTCTGCCTGGCATGCCCTTTCCCTGAAAATTCAGGTTTCTGATGCTTCTGCCTTCCTGACACTTCTATGGACCTATCCCTTGGGCACTGGACCTGCTGTGTTGACTAGAAATCTTGGGGCCTCCATGTCCAGGCTGACATATGGAGCAGGAAAGGATTGCAAATAACCGGACTTCATCCTCCTCCCCCAAGCCTTAGTACCCTGCCTGGCTCTGGGATGGAGTCCCTGGAGTGGGAGGGTTGAGCAGGGTAGGATCCTGACAACTCCCTTCCCATTATGGCTTCGTTTGGGCCTTGGTCTCTGTAGGGGGGCACTAGCCTCTGTCCACATCCTCCTGTCACACCTTCACACCTCCATAGGGCACCACTCACCTGTGCCGTCTCTTCCTCCTGGACCCAGAATCAGACCTGTAGGGCCATAAAAGGGTTCTCTTGAACCAGCCTGGGGTGACTCAGGGACACTGATCATCAGAGCCCTAGTCCTGGGCCCCAAGGAAGTGAGAGAAGGCCCCAGGGGAGGGAGGGTACCTGTCTCTGCGGTGCTTCTTCACACTCTTCTTTTTTCGCAGAGGTGAGGAGCTCCCACAACTGTGAACACAGGGGTGGGAGATGGGCTCTAGTGACCTGGGGCCTAGGAGGGGGTGGGACATCTGGAAATGGCTGGGCAAGGCTGGGTGCCTGGGACACTGAAGGTGGAAAGGGGATTCCAGGCCATAAAGCCAACTGCTTGTTGTACAGAGTAAACTGATGCCCAGAGGGTCCACAAGGTCCCAAAGGGTAGTTGATGGAGCTGCCTGTGTTGTCTGTCACAGGGTCATCTTTCCAGTCCCCTTGGCATTGTAAGAGAGAACTGTTTCAAACCTAAAGTTAGAGGCTGTAATGGAATTTCTGGCCTCTGTGGGGAAAAGCTGGTGGTGTCCAGGGTCCAGACCCTGAGGTGCCAGGCCTCCTGCCTCTGGAGGAAGGCCCTGGAATCTTACCCATCCATAAATACCCACCTCCCTGTTCCCCCAATCCTTGCCCGCCTCCATCACTGACCTGCACTCGGAGTCTAGTCTTCTTTTTTTGCTGAGGGCCAGGGAATAAAGAAGGACAGACAGTTGGAAGGGGTTAGTTGGGGCCCCAGATATTTGCCAGGGTTTCACTCAGGACAGGGGCAGAGGATCTAGAGATGGGAAAGCAAAGACGAGACCCAGCCGAACCCCCCTCCCCAGGGCACTGGCAGTTGTGGTGACGGATGCATGACCGCTGGGGAAAGGCAGAGAGGTACCCCACAGGTGGACTAAGACAGGGGCAGGGTCAGTGTGTCTTGTTCTGGGACTGGTGAGTGCCAATGTGGGGGACTCAGTGAGGGGAGGGGACTTGGTGAAGAGGAGAAATTCAGTGGGGGGAGGGGCTTGGTAAAGGGAAGTGGGTTGAGCAAGGGGAGAAGTTAGGGGGAGGGCATTTTGTTGGAGGGTAGCACAGTGAGGGGGGAGGGATTCAGCAAGGAAAGCAGGGCTCAACGAGGAAGGCTGACAAATGCAGCATTGGGTCCTTGCGGTCCGAGAGGTGGACACCTGGGGGGACCCACCGCGCCCCTCCCGCTCCCCGCCGTCGGGCGGCGCTCTCACCGGCTCCTCCGGTGGCCGCCTTTCTTTTTCTTTTTCTTCTTGGGAGGGGGCGACGCCGAGCTGCTGGACCAGTGCTTGGTCCTGGGTGAAAAGGGGCGAGAGGCGGGGCGGAGGTGAGGGGGTGGGACAGCCCCGCCCTACGCCGCCCTGTCCTTTTCCCTTCACCCGAGGCGCTCTGGGCTCTGACCTGTACCCCCGGTGCCCGCGGTAGCAGGCGGCGGGGCAGTCGCAGTCCACCGGGCCGTCGTCTTCGTCAAAGGGCGCGTACTCCAAGTCCGGCTCGGCGCCTTCGGGCAGCAGCGGGGTCTCCGCCACGCTGCTGGGGACAGGGGCGCTCAGCACCCAACCCCCGCGGGCCGGGCCTTCCCGCTGCCCCTTCAGCGCAGTGTTCCAGGCCTGGCCCTCCCCGCGCGGTTCAAGGTCGGCGGGGTACGTCCGGCTCTGGGATCTGCGGCCTCGACCCCTAGAGGGTCAGGCGGGGATTTGGGGAACCGAACAGGGAGCCTCCGTTACAGGCTCCCCAGCCTCAACGGTGTTATATGTTGCGAAAGAGAAGAGTATTGAGCCCTTCCCCCTCACTTAGCCATCCCTCTTCTAAGTTCTCCCTCTCATCAGTGAGCTCCGTTCTCCTGAGTGAGGCCCTTCTTCTCCGGGAGTCCCCTCCCCGCGCTTATTCTTTGTCTCTCAGTCCCATTCATTGCGCCCCACTCCCCCTCACCCAGCCCCTTTTCCCTCATTGAGTCCCATTCTTCGATCCCTGTCCCCCTTAACCTCACTATTCTAGTCCCTCTCCTAGCCCACCCCTCCTCAGCCTTCCTTTTCCCTTACTGAGCGCCCTCCCTCTTTTTCCCTGCTGTCCCTGCTGTCCAAGTCCCTGAGCCACCTACCCCTGCCTGAATGGCTCCCTCCCCTGCGCCCCTCCTTCCTCCAGCCCTGGCTGCCTCTCTGAAGTATTCATAGCCTCTCCTCACCCTCTGTCTGCAGCCTCCGGAGGCCTCCTTGCTCTTCTGCTGCCAGGCTGTCATCAATCACTGCCCGATGGCAGCAGATTCGAGCCCCAGCACTCTGCCTACCTCCGATACACCTCATCCATCTTGCAGAGCACTCCTCTACACTCGGTAGGGACCCCCCTCCTGTCCCTGCTCCTGGCTCAGGAGCCCCCAGCCTTCTGTCACAGGTGTTTGCACCCTGTGGGCACTTTGAAGAATGATGTTTTTTTCCAAAAGGCAACTGGGCTTAAGGGAAGCCCATGAGCTTTGAAGCTGCAAATATGCCCTCATCACACGCTGTCCCTGAGTCACTGTGTAACCTGGTGCCTGTCATGCCCCTTCTCGGAGCCTCTTCTCCAAGATGAAAGTGATAACTGCGTTATAGGGCTTTGGGGAGAGTTTTCTCACTGTGCAACTTTGTTTTTTATTGAACAAGCCCAGAAGTAACCCTCCAAAGACCAAGCTCCAGAATAATGGCTCCAGGGTGGTGCCCCCTGCCTTCTATTTTTCATTCCATGCTGGCTCAGACAGTGCCCCTCCCGGATGGAGGCTCAGCTCTGGTTTCAGCAGAACCGACCACCCTCACTCCTGGATGCCATTCACCTTGCTCATTCTGTTCCTGCCCCAAGAGACGGAGGACTAGTCTTGGATGGCAAAGCTCATGATGTGAGCTTTGGACTCAGACAGGTTCAGCATCAAGCTCACTGAGCTTTGAGGTCCTGATCTATTCAATGAGGAAAAGGATATCCCAGCTTTGAGGAGAGGATTAAGTGAGATTCTGTCTTTGAAGCTCCTGTTGTCCCACACATGGTTGCCATTGTTAGACGAGGAGCCTCTGTCTGACACACATCAACCAACACCTTCTCTTCCAGGGAGAAAAGCAGTTGTTACACATGAAAGAGAGACAGGGCAAGGCAGGCAGACTACAACTACTGAGGGAAAAAAATTTTCAGCAGCATATCTCCAGCAGATCACCCACTAATCTGCTAATCTTAAATCTCAAGAATGTCATTCAATTCCTAAACACCAACCTGGCATGGCAGCCTTGAAGTCACCCAGGTAGCACAGGAGGTTTTTCTGGGGTGATGGAGAGGAGGCTCATATTATTCCCCCCCCCCACAGAGTCAAACACCCCCATATCCCTTCATTCAAACCTCTCTGCTCTTCCCCACACTCCTCTTCCCAAACCCGGTGGCCTCCCACCTCCTGTTCCTGTGCCTGAAATCTCCAACTCCTCCACCTAGCCAGCTCCCACCCTACCAGGGTTCATCTCCCCCTCCCCCCAGCCCTCAGCCACACAAACACCTGACATATAAAACATAGCCTTTAGCAAAACTTAAGGGCACTCTGACGTTGTGTGGGTGAGTCAGTGGGAGGAGGGGCTTCTGTTTATTCAGACACAAAAATGAGGACAGTTATTCACAAAATAAAAAAATAGCTCAGTTTGGGCATTGCCTTTTGCAGGGATCCTTGCTTGCCTCCTAACATCCCAGCTGAGTTAGCCGCTGACAGACCCTCACTGTGTCCTCCTCGTTCTGCTGGCCACACCCCCAGGGACATCTGTTCTTTTTTCCTCTGTCCCAGGAACAGCACTTCCTCTCTTCTGCCCCATCCTCCCTCCCTGGGGCCTTATCATTTGGCCTCTCTCATTCTTCAGTCCCTTTTGGGAGGTTTACTTGAGAGCATTGAAAGAAAGGCATAGGATATGAGTATCCTGCTCAGGGGGAGGCACAAGGTTTCAAAACCATCTGAAAAGACTTGTTCTGGGCGTTCCAGGGATATCAATGTGCGTAGGCTGAGGCCTCTTTTACTGGCTTTGTGGGGCTGGTACCACTACATCTGCTTTGCAGATCTCCCAGGGCTAGAACCCTGGGTTCTCCTATTCTGCCTTTCCTGGATGATAATATCACTAACAATAATGTTCTCTAATGTTTAAACAGCTCTCTGCAGTTTACAAATGCAGAGCCACTTAGAGAAACAGCACCGACCCCCATTTTACAAATGAGAAAACTGAATCCCAGAGAGGAAACATCCCCATGGTTTTGGGACCTTTAAGTAGAAAATGTAAGTTCATTTATGCAGTTGGCTTTGACAAGTCACGTGCAAACAGTACAGCCTTGACCTGGCTGGCTGGACTTCCCTGCTGTAGATGTTAGCTCAGCCGTTTCCTCCCTACTTTCTAGACACAGTTGTGAGTGTGTGAGCTGAGTTCTAGATTTGTTTAACATTTTCTGCTCTTAAGTTCATGTTTGTGATCTAGTTTACTTCTCACCATGTCCATGGAATAGTAGGGTAGGCGTTCCTCCCTGAGACAGAACAAATTGAGCTGACCAAAGCAGGCCCAAAGAGTCTACAGCAGAGGGCCAAGAAAGTATTGAGGTTGAACATAGCACCATACGGGACACATGCTGGACTGGCCGCCATGGGCAAGGTTCTGACTTGGGAAAAGACCGCCTGTCACATGCTCTTTCTCATGACAGCAGTTTTGCTAATTAACTGGTTCTGTTCTCCATTATCCAGGAGCATACTGGCCAATAGACAGATGAATGAGTCCAAACAGAGGAGGGGCAGATCTCAGACGGTGGCTCTGCCCGTTTTGCTCATTCACACAGTCAGCATGCTAGGCCTGCTTGGGTCTGGAGAAAGGGATTGGGGTTTGTGGTGGTAAAAACAAGGTTGAGTCAGGCCTGGGGCCTCTCCTTTAGCTCCTCACAATACAGAGCAAAAATATGACACTGCATATTATAATTATTAACGCAGGTACCAGGTACTAAGCACTTTATATGTTTTTGTCTCATTTAATCATTTAATGCTCAGAACAAGCCTCTGACGTGGGTACTACCATTAATATTCCCATCTTATAGGTAAAAAATTGAAGCACAGAGAGATCACACTATGTATAAAATTAGGTGCATAGAAAAAAAGACGAATTTGCTCACTGTGTTAGCAACTTAGGAATTTTGTTTCTATAAATCCTTTCTCCCAAACATTTTGTTATATTACATAACTATGAAAACAATTATTATTAAAAGTTGTTGTCTGTTAGAGTGAGGAAAAAAAAAAAAGAACTGATAGCAGCCACAAGAAGTAAAGAAAACGTTGTATGTATTCCAAAAAGTCAGGTTTTACTTTTATCCCAGAATGTGGGCATGTGGTTTTTAGAGGCAGCCTTGGATGATGGAGTATTTTGAACCTGTGCAGAAGGGGCTAGGATGTTTCAAGCTGAGGGCCCAGTATGAGCAAAGGTGTGGCAGTGAGAACATGTAGGGCCTAGTAGGGAACTGCAAGCAGGTCAGGCTGGCTGCTGTGTGATGTTGAGAGTGGGAGACCAGGGTAGGTCTAGTGTGTGGAGGCCAGGGAGCCCAGACTCAATTGCATGGATGATGGGGAACCATAGATGGTTTCTGGGGGCAAAATAGGACTCCCCACATCAATTATTTCTAAGGACAAAAGCGTGTTCTCTCTTAATGTCTCTGAGATCTCACTTCTCTCCATCACCTCTCTCCCCCAGAATAGAGTGCCAGCTGCCCCACTGTTCTCCCTGCAGTTTCACCCAGCTGATCCATCTTCCAAAAGGGGCAGTCCTCAAACACCTGTCTGACCACATCATACCTCCCAAATCCTTCCACTGGCTCCCACCATCTATGGGATCATGTCCAGATACTGCAGCAGTGTGACATTCTGGTATCCAGTATGGAGGGTAGACTAGAAGAAGGACTGTCACAAGAGACTGTCACTCAAGCCAGTTAATTAACTTAAGGAGAAAGGATAATTGTGGGGACAAAAAAACTCTGGGACCCTGTTGAGACCCTTTCCTGAGTGAGAGGTGTCATGTGCCCTTATAGGGTTAAAATCAGACCCCTCCCTGACAGTATGGAGACCCTTTAGCTGTCTCTTCTTTGTCATCTTCCTCTAAGAGGGCATTTTTTTTTAAATTACCAGCCAATGAGTCAGAGTGGAGTATCAGGGTAAGGAAGCCAAGTCATGAGCATAGGGGCTGTTGGTGAGAGGGCTTCATAGATTCCTGAGAGAATCCCACAGTTGGCAGAGCAGGTGGAGACAGCCAGGCAGAGGGGAATAAGTTAAGGTCAGTCTAGTTCTCGACATTGCCAGACCTCCCTGTGATCATGGGGATCGTGGTTGTTACAGACTGAATATTTGTGTCCCCCCTAAATTCGTATGTTGAAACTCTAATCTTAACGTGATGGTATTAGGAGGTGGAGTCTTTGAGAGATAATTAGGTCATAAGGATGGAGCCTTTATGAATGGGACTAGTGCCCTTATAAGAAGAGGTATGAGAGCTAGCTAGCTTTCTTTTGGTCTTTTCTGGATATAAGAAGGTAGCTGTCGACAATCCAGAAGACATTCTTTACCTGAACCCAACCATCATCTCAGACTTCCAGCCTCCAGAACTGTGAGAAATAATTTTCTGTTGTTGATAAGCTACCAGTCCATGGTGTTTTTGTTATAGTAG